TTTAATAGCAAGGCCGCGACCTCTCACTGTAATATGATGATTCAGGTAAGAGGCAGGAGGCGAGGGATGGATCAGTGAGAATTTCGGAAAGGTCAGCTTTCTTCCTGCACTTTCGATTTTGGATGACGACGCTCTGTCAAAGTGGACTCTTGCCGACTGTTTCCACCTGAAAATTTCATGTATCAACCCCAAAAGGTCACGGGATTCTGAAAAGCCTTTCATGCACGACATCGGAAGCCTGACGCATATTTTGCTGACTATGAGCTCAAAATTTGTGTCCTGCCAATATGATCGATTTTTTCTTCACAAGCGATCATTACGTGTAGACTTTACCATCCTAGTAACTGCTTACTTCTAATCCTCTTATGTGCTGATGAACGATGTATCCCCACCGGTCTTACGTCCACTTCAAAACTCTGTATTTCGCTGTCTTTTCGATGGATCCCACATTTTTTCTGCAGCCCGCAATTACACAACCAATAAAGATGAACGGTGTTGAGTCGACTGACCAGAAGAATACCAGCACTCTACTCTCCCAAAAAATGTCTATGGTGATAGATTCACTCAGCTTCTTATATTTATTCATGACGGCCTGCACAACAACAATAACAATAACAATAACAACAGGAACAACGTAGAATGAAACAAATGGAAACTAAATGGAAACTACAAGGTACAAGTTCTAAGATGTTGCTGGGAAGTATTCTCGCCTACCAGTTTTAACGTTTTTCAGTCCATTGTAAAGATCGGAAATAATCCCAGACTTCGCTGCTAGTGCAGGGCGCGAGAGATACGGAACATTACCAGCCGGCTGAAACATTGGACTCGAGAAAATCATCGCTTCCAAAGAAAACGGAGAACCATAGCGGTCAGGGATTTGGCGTTACCGCAAGGATGGTATTAATATCATCGATCATCCCCCAGGTCAGCATCTCGCTTTTCAGGCAGTGATGTCACGGATGACACCACCGAGGCACCGTTCGAATAACTCAGCAGTAATCACTCATCCACAACAGTGAAAAGCAATTCAATGTCTTGTCACAGCTATTTTCTTTGACTGAGATGCTTCTTTTTCTATTGTTACAGAGGGAGATCGCTGTGCGAATAGCTCCGAATAGCCTTTGAGACTTACCTGAGATTCTAAAAGCATCTGAGGCACCATAATATCAGTTCCTCTAGCGAATATGGTAACTTTCGAAAGTTCTGATGAAGGAGTAGGCGTTATTAGATAGAACAAGTTCTTTTCCAAATCAATGGCCCGTATAATGCCTAAAAAATCCAGAGATAATGAACAGTTAGTGGGATGGTATAAATCACTCTGAAGACAACATACCGTAGCCGTGACATCTCAAAAGCGGCGATCCCTTGCGTATAATGGAAATTAAGGGAAGAGATTCATGTCCCAACAATCTTCTTGCATCCTGTCATGGCGAGCAATTAGAAGTTATAGGTACCAGAATTGAATGGAGAAGTAAACTCACCAGTGGCTGGTCCTTCGAATGCGAGCACAACGAAACGATTTGTACGTTCATCGTCGCTAGGAAATAGTGATCATCAACGTACGAATAGTCTTCCGGAATGCAGAGAGTAATACGCATGAAAGCAATATTTTTTTTACTGAGTACTAAAATGTGCGTAACAAAGTCCAGTGGCATGAGCATCCGCTAACATGAATATCAACACAAATTATCATATACATTTAAATAAAAGGATAAAGGAAGGATATACCAGAACTCATTATCCTACACCACGGTAGGCGTAACAAAAGCATCACCTTGAATTTCAAACGCAGGGGTACTAATGCCCTGACCAAGAAAGCTACCTCGATCAAATCACTGTAATCGATTACCTACAACAATACGTGTACTCAACATTCCATGATGGCCTATCTTCGTGAACTGCTTAATAATTCGTGACCGTTCTCTAAACCAAATTTTTTGCGAGTTACAATTTGGTGCCATTTTCACCAACTACAATCAACTCTCCTTTCCATTACTTCATATCCATTCGTGGTATTCTTCTTTTCGAGGGAGTCTGTAAGGTAAGATCCGCACTTTCCACCCAGGGTCAACCGTCACGTTGGACCAATTTCGAAAATTTTACGACCCCCTCCTTTTGGCGAGTCTCAATACGACCCCCCCCAAACACTTATTGTGTACTGTACACTTGGTATTATGCGTGTGTTTGCGTACTACTTCGTACTACTGGTGTGTGTTTTGGGTTACGTATTCGTACTAATATTTCGAGCGTTATCACAGAAACCACCACGTTTATGCAGTATCTCCAGAACTCTTTTAGTTATGGGTAGAGAATTAAGAATTCACAGAGAGGCGCACTTCTTCATTTGAAAGGTTGTAATTTCCTTCAAATAAGAAATGTGAGAAGTGGTAAGAAAATTTTGAAACTCCAGATTCCAATTGTTTTCTTTCTAAAAAGTACTCGAACTTTTGTAAAGTTTCATTTTTCAAAAATCGCCCCGTTGGACCGTTTTTTTGTGCACAACCGGGTTTTTGGGGCGACGGACTATACAATCGTCGGCTAATGAGGTCACGCCGCTCACGCGGCGAGAATCGTCGCGTGCGGCAGTTGCTGCGGCGATTTCTGTGTGGACCTTTTCTTATCCATCCATGCCCATAAGTTGGCTAGGTGACTGATAACACCAGAGTGCTGGACATCAGTAAGCCAGCAAGCGTCACTGTAAGATCCCTGCAGTGATTTAAGCCTCGCAGTACAAACTTTGTACCGTGTAAAGGTTGTCCTTTTGGATTTAATTTGACTTCTTTATTAATCAGTTTCCTGAATTTCTATCAGAGAGTGATAATCTGGTTCAATCGGAAAGAATATTGCGTATCAAGACACAGAGTAGCGGCGAGGAAGGCTCTAACATAAGCATGATATGATAAGTATGTAATAACGGCGAGCGAAAACGAAACTGCATTTTAAAGGTTAGGTGGTTCTTATTCCATGTTTCATGAAGGGAAACATGATCTAATCTTACATTCCCCAATGCTTGGATGCTGAGTTCTTTGCAAATTCGCCGCGATATTGCTGGCTGCGGCGGCTGGCGCGGCGACCTACTTACTGCCACGATTGAATAGTCACGCACCCCGTTTTTTTTTTGGCTTTCAATGATCTATAACTTTCTTCAGAAAGAACCTTTTGCAATTATTGTCCCCCTGGGATAAACTAGAAGGTTAAGAGCTTTCTAACGAATACTTGAACTCTTTTCAAAATTGATGGAGTCAAAAATCGCCCCGTTGGACCGTTTTGGGAAATCGCGGACCGATTTTTTGCAGAGCGCTGGTTTTTTGGCTTTGAACTGTTATAACTTTCTTCAGATTCAACTTTTTGCAATTCTTGTCCCCCTGGAAGAAACTAGAAGGTTAGAGCTTTCTAATGAATACTTGAACTAGTTTCCAAAATGACCCGTTCAAAAAATCGTCCCGTTGGACCGTTTTTTTTCATGAATTTTCGGAGCTACTCTCCTGAAAACACGAGTTTTCAACACTCAAACACTCACAGCTCTCTTCAAACTCAATTTTATGGGGAATAATGATACCATGACATCGCACAAGCTTTGTGCTTCATAACAGATACTGAACTCTTTCTAGGAAGTCGTCGACAGGCAAATTTTTTCTCCAAACTTTTCTTGTAAGCCTTTAGCAGTCAATCTACCCAAGTGGTCACTCTTTTACTAACTTAGGTCCAGTTTGAAGACATTGGTTCTCTTAGAAGCATATTTGTGTACGTGAACAGTCAATATGGACACTTCTGCAGTAGACTCTTCTGCTCTGAGGTGCGCCATGCACTCGTTTGTGGTTATAGTTGGAGAAGCACTCGAAAGTTATGCCTCTCACCTACGTATTGCGACGTTGATCCTTTTAAATACGACCCCCCTTTCGGTCGGCCGAATACGACCCCTCGTTGGACTTTGTCCAACGGACGAATGACCTTGCTTCCACCCAGTGTTGGGAGGCAACGTAACGACAGGGTCACTTATCGGAATACCCGGAATACCACGAATACCAGGAAATTGTGATTGCCCCATGTCGGCACCCATAAGACAAAAATATTGGGTCTCCACAGGCACTGAATGTCTGACATTCTTCCGCTTCCACCTTCAGTTTCCAAGTACTTCAACACTGAATGAACTCGCAGAGTGAACGCGACCGGCACGGGCTTCACGAAAACGAGATGGCATTCAGGTGAGGAAGTCCACAGTCTTCCTCCCTGACTTCCGTTTTCTCTAAGGAAGCACCAACAATACCATAAGCACGGCGGTCGATGCTGGCAGCCGAATAGCGAGTGGCCGCATTTACGCTAGGCTAACCCTTTGACACAATGCGCTTTGCACGTAATGGGCTCGTGAGACCACACCTCTTTTGAGCGCTCAACTATCGCTCAGCGTTGGGCAAAATTTTTCCTAAAAACAGTTTTTCTATCGAATTTTTGACTTAAGTAATATACCATGTATAATTACAGTTTTCAGACTTCATATCATAAATGGCTGGAAAGAGAACTGGAAGCTTGGATACAGTAGAAATTCAACCACACCCTTTGTCCGAAAACTGTAAAAACGAAGAGATCTTTAACAGTAATTATCTTCAGCCTAATAATGAAACCTTCAATGAAAATGGTGGCGAGCTAAATGGCGACATTATAATATCTATATAAATTAGCTCTTACTGAACATTTCTGTAAACCATGCTTAACATAAGTTTTATGAAAGTTGCTTAAACTTAATAGTATGTTAATGGTGTTCACATACGCAAAGAACGAAATGTTAAGGTGGCACTCGCTGGTTGGTGCCATTGCCGCCAAAGGGCTAATATAGGCAGCAAAAGACGGGAGCGCAGCGATACTGGTCGCGTCATTCCTCCGAAATTGTGAGTTCTCGGACAAAAAGAACCAAATCTTCGTCGCATTATTTGACAAGGTTTTGGTGGCAAGTTTGGCATGAAGTTCCCGCAGCATATCTCCTCAGTCGGCAGCGCACAGGAAGACCACAAGCCCGATTATTCGATGGGTGAAACTCCAGTTCGGGGGGCCGTAGTACTAGAGAGCAGTTCTTTGGGCTATCGAACACTACGGATAAGATAAAAAGTGAACGACTCATTTCGAGCGTACTTTTGATAAGGCCTGGTGGATGTCCTACATTCCACA